GAGATTTTTATGGAAACCATAGGAATTACTGATATGAAAAACCGATATCAAATTTCATAAATATAACGAACATATTCTGAAACCCTTAATTTTGGAATGATTCGAAATAAATCCATGAAAACTTCCGGAATAGATTTGTTGATGAATTTCCTGGAATATCGGAATACAGAACCACAGACGAACCGAATCAGAGACACGAAAAAAGTTGAGAAAAGGAACAAAATGAGTGGAGAGAAGAGCCGACTCACACCTGACCGCGATGTTTCTCAATGATAAATCAACCTAAGATAACTGCAGGAACTACCTCCAGGCTAATACAGCACCATGAAACATGGCGTATAGCGCTACCTTCGTTTCGTTTAAATGTCACGATGTGAGTGAGTTCTAGTTTTAGTAACGCACAGAGAGCATCAGACATGGTCTGCGTCTATACGATGTTTGTTTCATAAAAATCCTACTTTGATCGGACCAGGCCCCCGAGTTCGCAAAGCATTCTCAGACTTTAGTTAAGAATTTATTCACTTTAATCAGTTTTATGAGAAATATCTTCGATCCAAAAACACAAAAATAAATTTTTTATTGATTTATTTGATACATTAAAACAACAAAAGTTTTAAAAAAAGGCAAAATTTTAGTTAAAGTATGGCAAACAATTTTGAGTAAATTCTTAACTTAAGTCTGAGAATGTTTTGTGAAACCAGGCCCCCGAGTTCACAAACCATTACTTAACTTTCAGTCACTGTTTATGAGAAATATCTTTGATCCAGAAACACAAAACTTTGCACATAGTTCCTTATTCATATATTTGATACATTAAAACCACAAAAGTTTTAAAAAGAGCTATAACTTTTTAACTAGGTCTGAAAATACTTTGTGAACTCGTGACCAGGCTTCGCGAAAAATTAAACATTTTTGTACGAATAAAACTGAACTAAATAAAATTCCAACCATTTAATAGACATTCCCAATTCCCTGATAAAAAGGAAATGGTGTATTAATTATTTTAAAGGGCGAGGTAATAAACGTTAAACTCATCAGTATGACTAGATCTGACCTAATGTGTTCACGCTTGAAAAATGGAATGACGATTACACTCTACTACACTTAAAATATTTCGACTGATGACTATCTGATTCGTATAACATTTCCTAGATTCCGAATATAAGCAATCAAGGTCACGGCTTAAAGGAGCTAAATTTCTGTGATTTTATGGTAATTTAATTGGGTTGATCCAGATCTATTATAGTGATAATCTAGCCAACCGCGGCCATGGTAGCCATTTTGTTAGCCAGTCCGGAAGTTTAATAGATCAACATTAAAATTCTTGAGTGACATTTAGCACAATAATTTAAAAAAACACAACACAATTTATATGGAAAACAATTGCCGATTTTTACCCATATAGCACGATGTTTCGACAAGACAGTGTCTCTTTTCGGTCTAATGATGACGTCATACAGCACGACGTTTCCGGCGGTAACAGTATAAGAATCTATAATTGAATAGCACTAAGATTAGACAAAATAAGCCATTCTGTTACGTATTCACAATTAAAACAATTGTTGGCCAGTTGTGTTGTTTCGATGATGTGATTAGCTCTATACAATTATATTTCTGATTCAAGAGGGGGTGGGGTTGGGGGTGGATTAAGTGGAAGTCAGTTTGTTTACCAAACTTTTATAAATTCTCACCCCACAAAACATATACACATAAAATTCAGTGAAATCGATAATTCTTTTTTGAACTCAAATCAAAGGGTATTTGGTTGTATTTAGTTAGTATTGGGTAGTATTTAGTTAGTATTGGGTAATATTTAGTTAGTATTTAGGTAATATTTGTGAAATCATCCTGTCGTGACCGTTTTAAGGTAGAATTTAGACTAAGATTGGTTGCGCGTTTTAATATATATTGCCTAAAAATAATTCTAATTCTAAACTCATGTAAATTCTCAGAAAAGGCAAACGGAATACACACTATTGCCTTTAACGATTATCACAATAGATTTATATCCATCGTTCGTTCTTGGTGCTTATAACGTCCTAAGGGTAATATCTCAAATGTCGTGGCGGACATAGAACAGAAGGCCTGGCAACGGACAACGCACATCAAAGAAACTTTGGCAGTTGGAATTCGATATAAGAGTAGGCCATAGCGCCACTGTCCGGTCAAAATTCCCGTCATATCACACTGTATGGCGTCTTTCCGTCTTTATTACCTCAGTCCGCTGCTCAGTCCGAACAGACAATTGGGACGTTAAACCCCATTTCATTATCTACATGAGAAGAAGTCGGAGGTGTGTTATTCAAAGTCAGTTTATCAGCCAGGTTGAACTATTATCACGTCTATATCTAGAATATAGTCTCAAGATTGATGGATGGAGATTCTATGTGGACATATGGATACCAACTGCTTCTTGTATTTATTTATAAACTCTGTATTTATATAGTAATATAAACGAACATATATATTATAAACTCTATATTAAGTGTGTATATATACAAGCTAATATCATCAAGATTTATAAAAGTCTATTAATGAAAAAAATAGGTAGACTGAAAATACAAAATTAAATATGTAACATGTGTTTTAATGTCTAGTTAATATGTTACGTAGATTTAGGGTAGTGGGTGGTCAATTGTCTACGGGAGAGATAGAGAGAGAGGGAGAGTTTATTAATGAAAAAAAAACCCAGGTAGACTGAAAATACAAAATTGAATTATGTAACATGTGTTTTAATGTCTCGTTAATATGTTACGTAGATTTAGGGTAGTGGGTGGTCGAAAGATCTAAATGGTTGCGCTGCGGTTCAATAGTCTGATAAAAAAAATCAGAATGGAATATGATCTAATTAATTTGGACTATAGTTTAATTATTCAACTTTCATAGAAATAATCATTCGCGTGATGCAGTTTAACCTTAGATAGAAAAAAGATCTAAATAGTTTGTGCTACGAAATGAAATGGGGTTTAACAGCACACTGTTCTGTTCACACTGGGCTAATGAAAGACGGACATTCGCCATGTAACGTGCTATGAGGGAATTTTTGCCCAGACAGCGGCCCTACATCCTAATCTTTTATCGAATTCCATCTGTCAAGGGATCTTTAAGCGTCACAATGTTCTGTTCCGACTGGGCTAATGAAGATGGACATACGCCATACAGTGTGTTATGAGGGAATTGTTTTTTTTCTTGTTTTGCCCGGACAGCGGCGCTATGGAATACTCTTTTATCGAATTCCATCTGTCAAGGGATCTTTAACGTGCACAAGGGTGCTACGTATCAGAAGGTTGATAAATATTCAGAATAGACTAGTACTGATGAGGGAATTATGTGAAGAATAATGGAATGAGTAATAATACAAACAAATCCTGTAATAATGACCGTATTGTGAGTAACATACATTCCAGTACATAATAACATATATACTCTCAACTAGCATCATAATAATAAGTAACACACAGTCTATGTACATTAAACATACATTCCCATGGAAGTATTTATCGGGCAGTTTTTTACCAATAAAGTATGGCAATTTTTGTAGATACATCCAATCAAACAAGGATTGCGGTGATTCCCGGAGGTTAAAATGTTTCGAGAGAGATTTGAAGGAAGAGAGAGAGAGAGAGGGGCGGGGAGAGAGAGAGAGAGAGAGAGAGAGGGTTTAACGTCCACTCTACACAAACTAGGTCATTCCGGGACTAACACATGGTTCAATCTTACTACAACAATGCGCCTGCCCCTAGGGGTCTTCAGCAGTAGGAGGAAACTGGAGGACCCGGAGAAAACCCACGAGGTTGGAAGGGATTTGAAGCAACCTTATAGATTAGTTAGTTTAAATTGTTGTTCAAATATATCATCAAATATATCATCAAAGCAGACAATTGGTACGTAGGAAGGAATAATTACATTTATATACATTTAAATACTTTCAGCATACCCAACAATTCATGATTCCCAATGGACAAGTGGTCTTTGTGGCGGAAAACTGCTAACCAAAACCCAAACAAAACAACCAATTGAGGAAATTATAAAAATACCTACTATTTTGTCTCTGTGGTTGAGGATGCAAATTTTTAGGTAAATATTTTCAGTTTCGGGTAAAGTGGTGTTCCACCGTTATGTTTTCGTTTGTAAAAACATATGTATAGTTTACAAGATAAGTTTCCACCGAGAAAATAAATATTCAGTAAAATTATCTGAACAAATTATCAACAATTCTTATTTTTTGGTACCTGTATATATCAAGGTGAAATGAAATGAAATGAAATGGAGTTTAACGTCCTACTGTTCTGCTCCTAACCTGGGCTAAAGAAGACGGGCATACGCCATACAGTGTGCTATGAGGGAAATTTTGCCTGGACAGCGGCACTACGGCCTACTCTTATATCGAATTCCAACTGCCAAGGGATCTTTTACGTGCACGCCAATGTGTACACGGGACCTCGGTTTTCCATTCCATCCGAACGACTAGACAGCTTTCCTGGTCATCACTGCATCACTGACAAGGGAGAACCACGCCGGAAAATCTGGATGAACTTTCTCGGCCAATGCAGGGATCGAAAACCCGACCTCCAGGCTAGCGAGCTACACTTAGCCACGTGATCCCCATATATCAAGGTATATAATATAAGGCTATGTAGCATAGATATAGAGGAACACAAATTACTTGAAGATAATGAAATGAAAGGGGCCAATGAAGACGGGCATACACCATGCATTGTGATATGAGGGAAATTTTGCCGGGACAGGTCTTTAACCTGCGGCCAATATAGACGAGACCTTGGTTTTTTTTTTTAGTCTCATCCAAACGACTAGACACCGTCCTTGTCAGGCCCTCCGCCCTGCACCACTGATAAGCGAAACAAAGTTGGAAAATCTCGAGAGAAACTTCCTTGGACAAAATCGGGATCGACCCCGAGACCGCCTGATTGACGAGACAGCGCCATTTTAACCCTTGATCCAGTGTGGCCCCCATTGATAAATGAAACAAAAATAATTACCTTATGTCAAAATCACAAGTCACAAGCAAACTAGAATCCATAAACCCGAATGGCACAAATCTTTCTCAAAATGAAAGTAAAACGTAAAACAACTGATATATATACTTAATAACCGAACAACACAACGACACAAATCGTTCTCAAAATGAAAGTAAAACGTAAAACAACAGATATATTAAATAAGTTGATCGACTTTCTACTGGTCAGTTGGAGATTCTGTGTCAGTGCCAGTAGATCATCAACAACTAATAAACCATAGTTAATGGTCTCTCTCTCTCTCGTTGGCACCATTAGCAATCGCCTTTACCTAATTCCTGACACAGTTTGTAACAAAGAGCTGGAGTTATTCCAATAAAGTAAACATATTTCTAACACTCCTGTTTTTTTGAAGATACATGAGTCAATGTTTTTTAATGATACATAGTGAAAGTTACTCTAGTTTATTACCGCCATGTTTGTTAATTATTTAAAGTTTGAACGATTTCACACGTCATTACAAATCGTGTCATTAGCCTCGTTTTACATGTTATACTTTGGTATATATTCAGTATGACAGATCTTCGAAATATAAGATCTAGGGGCAACTGAAAAGAGAGAGAGAAATGGGGTTCAAAGTCCAATCGACACAAACTATGTCATTTTGGGACTAACACATGGTTTAATTTTATTTCAATAAATCGGTTGCACGTAGGTGTCTATAGCAGAGGAAGGAAACCGGAGGACCCGGAGAAAACCCATGAGGTTGGACAGGCGACCCTACTCCTTGTCACGTACAAACGGATTGAAAGATGCTTAGTCATTCCAAACGTATTACAAAAAAACACCCCAAATTTACCTCTTATCATATCCGGCAGTACGCGATACTGAACATGTGACCTACTTAACAAAACATCAAAGTCAAAGAGTTCCATATTTTATCTTATACTGATGGGCTGATAAAATAAAACATCAATGGTTCTGCCTTTTGACACCATATTTTATTTCTAGTGGTCGTTGAAATTCCAACAGAATAACCAACAGTCTTAGCTATTTTGACGCTTGGGCTAAAAGAAAATGAATTAAATAGAGTAAACCAGTATAACCTGGCACGAGAGAGAGAGAGAGAGAGAGAGAGAGAGGGGGGGGGGTTAACGCCCACTCGATACAAACTAGGTCATTTCGGGACTAACATATTGTTCAATCTTATTTCACTTATTCGCTTGCGCGTAGGGGTCTTTAGCAGTGGGAGGAAACCGGAGGACCCGGAGAAACCCCTCAGTAATTATAGATCATCGTAAAGGAAGAAAAAGGTTCATGAGAACTAAATACGTTATTTGCTTGCTTCAAAAATTTGTAACTATATACTTTTTTTAAAAAAATTTTTTTAACTAGATTTAATTGTTTCGTAACCTCGAGTGTCTGGCTGGTCGAGATGCACGTGCCTTTCCCCATGATATTATTACTATATTAAAATGGCAGACTGGTGTATCTCTTAGATTTAATTAGTTTTACTTTTGTAGGGTCTAGGTTATCTGTCAGGTAACGTTAATAAAGTAATAAAGCATATTATGTCACATGCACGACACCCGTCAATAATAACAGGAAGCAATGGCGCCAACCCTTTTATGTTTCTTTATATATACCGGTGTATCTCTTCGATCTACATGTCCGGTAATGTAAATAAAGTAATAAAGCATATTATGTCACATGCACGACACCCGTTAATAATAATAGTAAGAAATGGTGTCAATCATTTATGTTTCTTTATATATACTCGTGTATTTCTTAGATTTAATTAATTTTATTTTGTAGAATCATGATCGTCTACCTGGCAGGTGTAAAAATGTTATTTAAATAAAGCCGAGTCATAATGATGCGATTAAACCAGTAGTTTATTGCCTTGATAAACCAAATATTGACATTAATCTAACAAGATGTTGATATATTTGTTCAATATCTTATTTACGGCCATTTAATTGGGGCAACTGAACACTGTTTATAAATAAAATGTTTACAAGGAACATGATGTAATAATACGTGAATCAGCAGAATGAAGGTTTAGAAAAAAGGGCCTTTATATTAAACAAGATAATTATAATGCGCATACCCCGAGGTTGTGACATACAATTACAATCCCTATCTATGTCGATTTCGCAAAGAACTGTCTGGAATAAATAACATTATAGTACAAAGAGGTTTTGCGTGGGAAATGCTTTGGAAATGCAAATTTTAAAAGAAATTATGACTGGTCTAAGATTGAATTAGGTGACTGATACCAGTTTAACAGGCATACGCCTGTTTTGTTACATTGAAGTTAATTCTACTTAGTCATTCAACCCCATTTAGTCAGGGACTTAACTTTTATCAAATTAACCATAGACTCTGATCCATTTATATTAGTCAGACAGTGACGCTAATCCTTCTTAGTCAGCCAGGGATCTTAATCTCACTTAGTCTGCCAGGGACGTTAAGTCCACTTAGTCTGGGACGTTAATCCCACCTAGCCTATTAGGGACGTTAACCTCCACGTTTTGTCAGTCAGCCAGGGATGTACACCTCCACGTTTAGTCAGTCAGCGAGGGATGTAAGCCCCCTACTTTAGCCAATCAACCAGGGGTGTTAACGCCTTTATGAGCGCAGTTGGAGCAGAACAGTAGAACGTTATTTAAACTCATTTCATTTCATTTGTATCTGAGCGTACAATTTTAAAATGTGATGATAATATGGAACACCTCATTCTAATTCGAAGTAAGGCCATTGGTTGTTTTTATACCCCACCCCACCCGTTTCAAGAAGTCCATTAATTTTTGTCTCCATTGTTCTCTATAATGAAATGTTATATTATGGTTATACCATACAGTATTTTATATTATAGTATATTATATCTCCTCCATTAAGGGGGGGGGGGCGAATGGTTAGCACCTGCGCGCTGTATCATAAGGTCTGTCAATGGGTCAACTGGCGTGGTTTCGATTCCCCGGTTCTCCGATTTCCTCCCACTGCTAAATAGCTTATGCGCAAGCGAATTGTTGAAATAAAATTGAACCATATGTTAGTCCCGAAATGATTTAGTTTGTGTCGAGTGGACGTTAAACCCCATCTCTCTCTCTCTCTCCATTAAGATATAGATAACGTTTCTAAACACACGATATCATTAATCTCCTGGGGTTAACAAGGAGATATGTTTACTACATCACATCGTCGGTTTGATTAATAAAACATTTTTAACCAATTAAAACTATCACAATTAATGACCCCCAGAACCCAGAAGCAGTGATAAGAAGGTAAGAAGGGTGAACCAGATTTTTTTTACAATATTTAATTGGCATCTTCTTGGCTTAAAAACTGTAGTGCTGTCTTTTGGAATTTAGTTTGTGATGAAACATGGTCTACAATCATTCAGTCGCGGTGCTCAGTCAAAGGTGCGAAAGTTTGACTCACGATACAATGTCAACGCTTCCGGAAGTGCAATGGGGTGATCCAAAATTCGTTCCTTTCTTGTTTACGGAACCACCAAAGACAGCATTTTGGAATAGATCATATATCGAGGTCCTGTTGTAATGGGGGCACGGTGGCTCAGTGAGTAAGACGTTGGCTCGCTAACTTGGAGATCCCGTGATCGATCCATGCGTTTACCATCGGGTTCCTTCTTGCCAATGGTGCTGGACCGAGGGCCTGACAATGACAGCTGTCTAGTCGTTCGGGTGGGGCGAAAAACCAAGGTCCCGTGTACACATTGGCGTGCACATAAAAGATCCCTTGGCAGTTGGAATTTGATATAAGACTATGCCGTAGCGCCGCTGTCCAGGCAAAATTCTCTCATAGCACACTGTACGGCGTATGCCCGTCTTCATTAGCCCAGTTGAAGCAGCAGGACGTTAAACCCAATTTCATTTCCAATTGTAATGGATGCGCCTGAATTTAAATATGATACGTGAATGTGTACAAGTTATTCACAGATACGAAATGAATGAAAAGAAATGGGGGTTTAACTTTTCTAACTGCTCTACTCCGACTGGGCTAATGAAGACGACGATATATGCAGTGTGCTGTGAGGAACATTTTGCCCGGACAGCAGCGCTACAACCTACTCTGATTTCGAATTCTAACTGTCAATGTGTACACGGTACCTCGGTTAATCGACCCACCCGAAGTTATTCGCAGAAGCTTGAGAATTATTTTTTAATCGATAATTGCATATTTTCTAAGAAATGAAATGAAATGAAATGAAATGGGGTTTAACGTCCTACTGTTTTGCTCCGAACTGGGCTAATGAAGACGGGCATACGCCATACAGTGTGCTATGAGGGTAATTTTGCCCGGACAGCGGCACTACGGCCTACTCTTATATCGAATTCCAACTGTCAAGGGATCTTTTACGTGCACGCCAATGTGTACACAGGACCTCGGTTTTTCGTCTCATCCGAATGACTAGACAGCTGTCCTTGTCAGGCCCTCCGTCCTGCATCACTGACAAGGGGGAACCACGCCGGAAAATCTGGATGAACTTTCTCGGCCAATGCAGGGATCGAACACCCGACCTCCAGGCTAGCGAGCCAGCGCCTTACCCACTTAGCCACCGTGATCCCCTATTTTCTAAGAAAGTCAAGACATACTCATTTCTATATATCTATTGCTTCATAGGTTGTCAAATCAATATTATACAATCATGGCAATCATTCTAGCACTTAAAAAACATCCACACAAAAATTTTAAATAATTTCTGTACACCTACGCTATTTGAAAATTCTATCATTTCTTTTCACTGGAAAACAAAGGCTACACAATGGAAGAGGGGGTTATGTCGATTGTCAAGATCCGTGGTTAAACAGATAAGGATAATGATGCTTGATTGAGCGAGACTTTGAAAATTGTTCATATGACAACTATACATGTACTTTAAAAAGCAACGTTGGATTTTAAAAGAAAGTTATAATTCATATTTGCCAATTTCCCAAATGACACAAGTGAATTATAGGGTTTAGGATTATTCTTTAACAAGGTAGCATTGTGTGTATAGATGCCATGTATTTTAAGGCTTTTTTTTAAACACGTGATTTAAAAAATGCAATTATCGCTTTAAAATGATTAATATTATGGGTTATTCAAGTTTAATTGTTTTACTAGAATATTCCCCCTAACTACTGTGTACAACGTTCATCTGCCATCAGGGAGAAGGTTAACATTGTATAACAGGTTAGAACGTAAGGTATAATAGGTTAGAATTTGGACTATGATCTATATAAATAAGGTGTC